GGCTCAGGTCATGATCTCAGGGTCCTGGGATCGAGCCCTGCCTCGTGCTCCATGCTCAGCCGGGAGTCTGTTTCTCCCTCTCCCTCTGCCCCTCCCGCTGTGTGCTCTCTCTCTCTCTAATAAATAAAATCTTTAAGAAAAAAAAAGCATGAAAAAAGTGGCATGCTTGTCTTATCACTAACAAATATTCACCTTTGTGCTACCTCTTAAATAACTTCAATATATGCACAACTATAGCCTTTAATACGATTCCTCTGAATTACTGCATGGTCACTCTTTTATTTTTACCAAGCTTTTTTTTTTTTTTTTTAATATATGCTCATGCTAAAAGTTTTCAAAACCTAGACAAACAAAAACTATAAAGTGAAAGACACATCTCTATTCTTCCTCAGTCCTCCAGTTCCATTCTTTAGGTAACTACTATACTTTAAAAATATTTGCAGAAAATTAAAACAACGGTGAAATACCACTCTACACCTATTAGAATGGCGAAGATCCTGAACACTGACAACATCTAGTGCTGGCAAGGAACTCTGATTCATTGCTGGTGGGAATGCAGAACGGTACAGCAACTTTGGAAGACAGTATTGTAGTTTCTGACAAAACTAAACATGTTCTTACTATATATACAAGCCAGCAGTCATGCTCCTTGGTGTTTACCCAAAGGAGTTGAAAACAAGTCTACAAAAAAACCTGCACACAGATGTTTATAGCAGCTTTTTTCATAATTGCACATACTTGGAGACAACCAAGATATCCTTCAGTAGGTAAATGGCTGAAAAGTATTTGTGTTTCTTTCCAGGAACTTTCTGGGTATATCTAAGTGTGTATGTGTATGTAATTTTTTTTTTTTTGTAAATCTCAGTGGGACCATATTATAGATATTATTCTATCCCAGTCATTTTTCATCTAATAATCTGTATGACTGAGGAAACTGTAGATGTCTCATTTTTAAGTGTGTGGTAATTAATAATGTACATTCTAAGAAACACTTTTTTCTTTTTCTTTTTTTTTTTAAAAGATTTATTTATTTGGGGTGGGGGCAGAGGGAGAGAGAGAGGGAGAGAAGCAGACTCCCTGCTGAATGCTGAGCAAGGTGCCCCAAACAGACTCTTACCTATAAAGAACAAGCCAATGGTCACCAAAGGGGAAGTGGATGGGGGGGGATGGGGGAAACAGGTGATGGGGATTAAGGAGGGCACTTGTGATGAGCGCCGGCTGTTTTAAGTAAGTGTTGAATCACTATACTGTATACCTGAAACTAATATACTGTATGCTAACTGGAATTTGAATAAAAACGTAAAACAAGTAGTGTAGATTCACCATTTTACAGTTTTGTGTTTTTGTTTCTTTACTCTTACCAACAAGGTTTTGTTGATCATTCTTGTACATAGACCTCGCACCAGTATCTTTTATTATTTTCTTAACTCACACCCTTATTTTCTGCAGCCTCTTTCAGTCCATAAGTCTCTTGCAGAACTGTGGCTTTATGTGTATGTTACATGATCTCATTTGTGTAAATTAGACATACATTTACGCACACATAACAAGTATATGCATAAGAAGTTTTCATGAAGGCTATGCAGGTTTCCCTTGCTGTCCAAAAGCAGAGTGTTCCTTTGAAACATTTTTTAAGCCAAAATGGCTTAAAGCAAAGAAGCAATTACCCTTTCATAGAAGTGAAAATTCTTTTTGGATTTCTTTCAGTTGGCAAAAGCAGGTATGAACATAGGTCTTTTTTAAAAGTGCAGGGTGTAAGGGGAACTTTTGTATAGTGAGGGAAACCTGTTTAAAATCTAATTAACTGTGATTATCTTTGAATAGAGGGACCTAGAAGTAGCCATGTGGTTGGGTAGATAGGGCATATATAGTTAAAAACAAACAAGCAAAAATACATTACTAATGTGGTATTTGCTATTTTTTTAAAAAAACACTTAAATACCTATAAAAATTCAAGAAAAGGGGATTAAAAACTCATTGAACCTTTATGTTAGGTGGACATCAAAGCAGTTTAGTAGATGAATTATATTTCAAACATAATGTCACCCTTTTATTTCCATTAAAATCTGTTTTAGGTAAGGGGTGCCTGGGTGGCTCAGTTGGTTAAGCGTCTGACTCCTGATTTCAGCTTAGGTCATGATCAGGGTTGTGAGATCCAGCCCCATGTTGGGCTCTGTGCTGCGTGTGGAGCGTGCTTGAGATTCTCTCTCTCCCTCTCCCTCTGCCTACCCCCCTCCTGCATACTCTCTCTCTTAAAAAAAAAAAAAAAAAGTTGTTTTAGGTAAAATTTGTAAAACAAAATACTAGAACATGTCAGCCATATGTGTTAGGGCTAAGCTAAAAACAAAGCTTTTATCATCTTCTTTCTCTCATTAATTCTGCCGAAAATTCCTCCCAGTTCTTGGAACATGAAATTTTCTGTCACTAGACAGCTTCTAAATGATCCCTCCATACCTTATTTGAACACCATGACCTTGATAATGTTGGACTCCTCTCCCAAGTAGTAATTCTCATTCCCATACTGTTTACCTCCTGGAATTTCTACATAATGTATAGTACCTCCTCACTTAGAATATATTCTTCAGGCATTTATTATATTTCTAATGAGGTTATGCTTAAGGATTTAGCTCACAGGCTCTCATTTGTATTTTTTATCTTCTCAAGATTTCTGAGTTTGCTTTCATAGGAGTTATTTTTACTTTGAAGACAAATTTACATCCAGGTCCTTATTAAGTTGACATATGTCCTTAGAATTTCTTGCATATGACCCACATCTGCAGACTACTCATATTTTAATACCTCTAACCTTGGTAGACATTTCTATAATACTGAAATCTATGTCTTCCACTAATCTGCATGTGTTTCTGAGATATTTCTGGAAAGGCAGTAGTAAATGTATAAGCCTGAGCAAAATGGGGTTGGTGGAGTTGCTGAATTTTTATCAGCATTACAAATTGTGCTTTCTCATGAGAATTTGTTTTAAAAAGAAGCGGGGAAGTTCCATTGCTAAAACAAGTCTTAACGAATCCGTCCACTGGCCATGGCCTTTCTTTCTGAACACTTTTCCTCCATGATACTTGTTAGCTGTTGTAGGGTAATTGTATTTTATCATCCAATCACCTTCTTGACCTTTAATTGAACCTGCATAGATTTATGACTAAAAATTAATTTGCTGTATCAATTTCATGTATTGGTTTTTTTTTTTTTAAAGATTTTATTTATTTGAGAGAGAGACAGCATGAGAGGAGAGAGGGTCAGAGAGAGAAGCAGACTCCCCGCTGAGCAGGGACCCCAATGTGGGACTCGATCCCTGGACTCCAGGATCATGACCTGAGCCGAAGGCAGTCGCTTAACCAGCTGAGCCACCCAGGCGCCCAATTTCATGTATTGTTAACAGAAGAAAGCAAGGAATAGGACTTGGGTCACTCAGACTTAGGTTTTAATTTAATCGTTTGCTACATATTCGCTTATGTGTCTTGAGCAAGCTGGTTTATTCTCTCAACTGTAACAAAGGTTAATGTGAGAATTAAATACATACCATAAGTGCAGCACCAAAACATCGTTTCAATAAGTGGTGTTTAGTCACAAAAGGGATAGCAGTTAGGAGTGATGATATTTAGCACTAGTTTTTATTTATTTTTTTAGCATTAGTTTTTAAAACAGTTGTGGCTTCTGATTTTGTTTTGTTTTCTAGGAAAAGTAATTTCTATTAATTCTTTCTTCAAGAGTTGTAACATGAGATGTCCATCTTTCCAAAATGAAAAATTAGTAAATGATAGGATTTAAAAATCATGAATACATTTGTGTGCAGTCTTATAAAGGAATGAAAACTGAATCATATAATTACATATTTAACCAAGACCAGTTTTTGTTTAAAATAAAATTACTTGGGGTGCCTGGGTGTCTCAGTTGGTTAAGCAGCCAACTCTTGATTTTGGCTCGGGTCATGATCTCAGGGTCATGGGATGGAGCCCCGTGTCTGGCTCTATGCTCAGCAGGGAGTCTGCTTGGAATTCTCGCTCTCCCTCTGCTCCTACCCCCATGTTCACACACTCTTTCTCTAAAATAAATAAATCTTAAAATTACTTTATAGTATCTTTTAGGTACTATGCTACATACTTTGCATGAAATATTTAATTCTTCTGATGACCGTATGAGGTGTCTATACTGTTTTTATCTCTATTTTACAGATAAGGTAACAGGTGCGTGTGTGCTGAAGGACATACAGTGCGTGGTAGAGTCAGTATTCATGCCTAATTTCAGAGTCTCCATTCTTTATACCACCACATTGTTTTTTTAAAAATTATAGCAAAGTATGCTATTCTGTGATACCCTAATTCAGCTTTGAGTTGGTGATTTTTGATTCAGTAACTACCTGTGAAGAAAACACCTGGATTATATTTTTTCTCCCCAGTGGAAGATGCTATTTTTAGTGATTGTAAGATGTATATTTGATAATTTAAAAAATCTAAGTATTACATATATGGATGTGTTTGGGACAAAAACATTATTAAAGTACCTACAATAAAAAGAAATTTTACTCTATTTCAATCAGGAGCTTGTTACAGTGCCACATAGCTTCATTAAATGCCTTGAGCATAAAACAACTTAATAATTATTGGCTAAGAATCTGTCATAAAAGGCCATGGTAGATAATTTTTTTTAGCATTAAACTGGTTACAGTAAGAGGTAGTGTTTATGGATCATTTACTTTGTTCTGAGCACTTCCATGGATGACCTCATTTAATCTTTTCAACAGTCTAGGAAGGAGACACTATTAATACCTGTTTTACAGCCCATTAAACTAAGATTTGAAGAGGCTCTCTGTCTCAGGCTGCATTGTAGTAGCAAACGTGGATTAGGAGCCTTCCAAATTATTTTTATTTTAAACTTCATATTTATGAAATAGTCACAGCAGTGTTTGAAACGAAAGCTGCTGGAATGATGAAACATTTTTGTAGTGAATTTTCTTTATGGACGTGTATTATTTTTCCCTTTAGGTTCACAATATTCTTGCAGAAATGGTGATGGGGGGTATGGTATTGGAGACCAACATGAATGAGATTGTTACTCAAATTGATGCACAAAATAAACTGGAGAAATCTGAGGTAAGAATGGAAAGCACTCTGGTTAATGGAGGTAGTAAGCATGATCATAAATTTGCATGATGTGTAGCTTTCACTGTTTGTCCTTCAGTATCACCCTTTAAGTACAGCTGATAGCTTATTCAGTTTTTTAAAAATGGAATATACATATCTTAGTATGTTCAATGTTTTGTGACGGCTATCTATCTGATAGTTTCATGTTCTCTTTTTTTAGCCATGGTTGTTAACTGCCTTGGGTAATAAACACAATTTCAGATTCTTAACAGCTTAAAAAAGAAATTATATGTTTGAATAATGAAATCAGTATTTGCTTTACAAAACCTTAGTAATCATCAAGGAAATCTTAGACCTGATATTTTAAAGATATATAAATTTAGTGTCACAGAACTATTTCTGAAAAAGGAGAGGAGAGGAAATGGAATTCTCATGAGGAAGTAATGTTGTAAGTTATAATTCGTGCTTTGCAAGCCTGAGTGAACACTGAAAAAAGAAATTCGTTGCCTTAATCTTTTAATTCTGGGTCCTTCCCAGAGGTCACTGACAAGTTGGCTAAGTCACATATTTTACACAATGATACATGCATTCATGGCTTTTTCTGCATTCTATAGGAGAAAGATTTGGTTAGTTACACATGCTTAGCTTTGTGCTGTTATTAGGTGCATGAGGATCAACCAGCACTTTAGCATTGTATAAAATCCTACTTTAGAATTTTCATGACTCTTTCCTCAAGTATTAGGCTGAATATCAATAACAAGCACTGTAGCTGAGCCACTGAAGTTCACGTTGTTTTGGTGGTTTCTTATTACTCGGGCAGAAGTTTAGAAAGATGAATAGTTTTGACATGTCGTTCAACACTATACTTGTTACCTTTGGTATTTATAGTCATAACTAAGATTAGAAAAATAAATTTTACTTATAATTATTAGTACAAGCTCAGGTGTTGGATTGATTTAAAGTAATCATTACTATAAAAGCAGCAAAGTATTAAAAATATGCTAGCATTAATTTACAACAGGTGAGTTCTAAAGAATTTTTATCTTGTTGGCACTTTAAAGGATCAGTTTAATGGAATGCTATGCTCACTGGAATTGAATGAAACACAGGATGATGGATAAATCCAAAATCTGAGGGTTAGGAACAGTTAAAGCTTTATATAAAAGCATTTTCCAGTGTTCTATTTTAAAGTAAAATAGCCCTGCATTTCTCTATATCTCAATTTACCATCCCTATGAGTTGCCCAAAGGAGAGGCTTGTAATGGTGAAGAGCTTATAGTTATGACTCTTTTAAATAACTAGTTATATTTTATGTGTTCTACAGCCAATTTTTAAAATACTGGTTTTTGAAAAGGAAAAACAAACGATTAATACAGAAGGTTTTGTTTTAGGACAAGGAAAAGAACTCAGAATATTATTTAGTATAGTTGGTTTGCCTTATATTATTTAGTATGGTAAAAGATTTACTATAACCTCTGAGCTGTACAGTCTTAAGTGATAACTCAAATTTTATGTAATCTGTTAAAACTTGCTTTACAAAACTCTATGGATATAGATTCTAAATGCCAAGAGACAGTGACATAATCCATTAATAATCTGTCAAAAATGAATGGATATGTGGTAATTTGTGACTTCTGTGTAATCATCTGTAAAAAATATATTAACCTTTTATCTGGAATGTTCATATTCCAGGTTCTTTAACTTCATTGATGGTGTCCTCTTTTTTTTTTTGCCCTGGGTTTGCTATTTATATTACTGATAAAAGTCATGAAGGACCTATAATAATTGCATAATGGATATTTGCTTTCTGATTGTCCAGTATAACTTTGTTAATGAGGCAATTTTTTCTTATCTGTAAAGAAAGAGCAGTAAAATACAAAATTTACATTTTCAGTGGAAATAGAATACTGTAACTGAAAATCTCTTCACAGAAACATTTCTATTTAAAATGGTTTTAAATACTGGTGAAAGAGGTACTGCTATTTTTCATCTGCTGATCATCTTTTAACTTGTACAGTCAGCAGTTACCTGCTACAAATTAGTTTTTCTCCTTTACTAGAAAATAGGTTTTAAGTCTGGGAGTAGACCACAATATTATGTTTTTCATCAAGTGTTTCTCCATATGTGATGTCTGCTAATATTTTAGTTATAAAGTAGGATTTTGAGTCAAAATGAAGCCATTTAGTCCTGATCATATTTTAAGAAATTATGCCAAAAATGTTGACTTTGTGTAATTCTTCAGTAATTTTCATAATCTGTTTGGAAGACTACCACCTTTATTCCAGACACATTGAAATGTCAGTTTTCATATGGATTCTGTTTCCATGTTACTTAAACTGGATATATATATCAAATATATGACTGCAGAATAATCCAAAATTATTTGAGAACACACTATAAGCTTTAATTAATCTGACTCTTCCTTAAATTTTAGTTAAAATTTATTATGCAAGCAAAAACTTGTCAAGAAATAATTAAAATCCAGAATATCATGATTGATGAAAAGACCTGGTTATCATACTTTTAAGATTAAGTGGTATTTAGAATAGCATTTATCTTTTAAAAATCAGTCTGGGTATAATTAAGATACCACTTTTAAGATATAGCATGGATATATCTAGTTGCCTTTACTTTGTCAGAAATCAAAGACTTTATTATTTTGGTTTAAAGATAGTATATTTCCAGTGACAAGAAAGTGAACCAGCTTAATTCCTAATAACCTAGACAGGTAGAAGCAAAGATCTCCCAGATCTTTAAAGAGAGGACAAACAAAGATATGCTCTGAATGTATGTCCATCTATCCTGATTCGACAGAAAACTGGTTTGCTATGACATGGGGGTCTGGGCAAAGGAGGGTTTAAGCTGGGTGCGAGGATGGTGGGATTTGGGGGAAGTGTAAGAGGCACTCAGGAATCTTCCAAGGAATAAAAGGACTCCCTGGGGGTGGAGGTAGAGGGGTGGGGTTGGGGAGACTTGTTAGCTTTTGTGTATGTCATGTTATTTTTAAGATGCATAAATGGGTCTGAATATAGTCACTACTTTTTTAAAAGTCAGTCTTCTTTTTTTCCGAACATCCTGATCTTTCTAGCTCTTTCCATTCTTCTCTCTTACAGACCTTTATCTTTCAATCTCCCAGACAGGACAGGTAGACAAGGTATTGCTGACTTTGAGAAAACTGTACTTTAACAAAGGGAAAGCAAAATGATGTCAAAGGCAATTAATTATTTAGGCCAGACTCAAAAATTCTTTGTGTTAATGAACCCATGTAGTCCCTGTAGCCTATTTTTCATTCTAGTTTCTCCTTGTAGTTTCTTCATCTTTTATTGGACTTAGTGTATTTTACTAGTGTTTCATTGATGTCATGTTTGTTCTGTTTTGTCTGCCTGCATCGTAAAAGGAAAGTTTAAATTTTTTGTTCTTTTTTTAAACATTGTCATTTAACTGACAAATTACATTTGTAAAAATGCAGGTTTACTTTGTATATAAAAATGTAGAGTTTATTTCAAAAATCATATGTTAGAATTAATCTTAATTTAACTCTCACAGTTCTTTTTCTTGTCTTTCTAAATTAGGATTCTAACATAAAATCCCTGCTGGGTTTTGGAAGCTGTGCATTTGAAAACCAAAAGCTGAACCTTTAGAGTTTTGCATACAAAGTGAGAAACAATGAAGGCTTAGAATAGTGACTTTTAAGTAGTGCTTTTTTCCCCACATAATGGTTTTCAGGTCCAAAGTCTTAACAGAATTGCTTTTATGGTTTTGACTAACAAGGGCATATTAAAAGTGGCCAACAAAAAGTGTAAGATAACAAATCTTCTAAAATTGAATTAAAAGTTCTAAAAATTGGAATTAAATATTTTGACCAAAATAAAACGGATTTCCAGGGTAGCAACCTTCTGACATCCAAACACCATAATAAGTGAGACTCAGTAAAATATTGTTAACCTTGGACATTTTTACAAAGCATATTGCCTCTTACTGAAAATGTTTTTAATAGACTCCTAGCTTTATAAAACTAAATTTTCTCTGGCATTTCCTATGCGTTTTTTACACCCTAAGTTAATTGTGTAAATTTTTATTTAAAAATTTCAATCTAAATGGTGATGAACAGCTTTTTTTTGTACAATATTGTACCAAAATGAAAAATGAAAATGCTTATAGGCCTCCATTTAAAAATTTCAAAGTGACGCAAACAATGATTCATGGAACATTACATCAAAAACTAATGATGTACTACTGTATGGTGACTAACATAACATAACATAATAAATAAATAAAATCAATAAAACAAACAAAAAATTTCAAAGTGAAAATACTTTATTGAGTCCCAAAGAGGAAAAAAAATTCTGTAAATTCAACAAGTTGGATTACCCACTTCACTAATTAGAAAAATGCCACTGAGAATTTGGCATTGCTTTTTAGCCACTAAAAGTATCTTTCTGGATGTGTTTGAGAAGTGGCAACATACAGGTGGCTTTTTAATTCTTATCCCAAGATGGTAGGCTCTGTCATGAAGCTGGGAGTACCACTTGTGGTCCTTAGGTCTGTGTTACTTTATCCCGGTAATAGAAAATACATAATTGTTTCCTTTATTCCACTGATCCAAATCACTGCCAATTTCTGTGGTCTAGTCTTTAATTTATGTTAAATTGTCATTTTCTAGCAAAGAACCACCTGGGTCTTTAACTTCCATCACTAGAACTAGTAGTTAGCTTTCTTGTTCTTTTTTTAAATCAAATATCTATTTTCAAAGAGCAGAGAATAAGAAAAGTGGCCCTAATACAATGATGCTGGAAAGTCAGCTTGTGAATTGGTTCTGCTTCTTACCTTGACATGCTGTTTACTCTGTTCTTCTACAAAATTATGGTGAGGACCCCTGAGTTCACTTGTAATGGTTGGAATTAGTTACATTAAATCCATGAATTGGGCATTAGTCTGCTATATTTATTTCACACAGGCAAATGCTGTGCTAGAAATTAAAACTATAACTGAAGATTATATTAAATGGATTATATAATTTGGAAGGCTTTTAAATTTTTAAATATTCTAATTTTGATAAAATTTTTTATAAAATGTTATAGTTCTTACTCACTAGAGGGTTGTCATTAGCATTTCTAACCTTGGAATTGAAATACTAAAGCACTGCCTTTAAAGCAAAGAGCAAGCCTATTACAAATTCCCAGATTAAAAGCTATTCTACCTTACATTCATAAATTAAAATAGTGAATTCTCTATTTTGCTCAAAACATGAATTCAAAAGCTGCCATTATTTTGTTAATGATTTTGAGTCTGAAACCATTTAATACTGTGTTTATTAATGTTGATGTTCTTTCACTTTGCTGTTAGGTCAAAATTATGAATGTGCATATAGCACCTTCCAGCAGGAAGGGTGGGTAAAGTTTTAGTATGTACAGATTATTCCCACTACCATCTTACTCTGCATTTCAAGCTTGAGAAAATATTTTAAGATGGTAGGATACTAATATATGTCTTAGATTAAATAAACATCTAGATTCTTTCCTTTTCCCCTCGAGAAAGTTAATTGCTTATTGCATGATAAGGAAAAGGGAGCCTTCCGATTCTTTGAAATATATTTTAGTAATGCTGCTTTTTCACTTTTGCTTGCACATATTTTGTTTATTTTTGGGTCTGGCAATTTAAAAACAAAATCAAAAACAAATCATATCCATCCATTATTATCTTTGTGATTCAAGTGCTTGAAATTTCTGAGAGTATGTCTGTATAAGTCTTCTATCTGTTTGGCCTCATTTTGGTATACTTGCAGACTTCATTTTGTTTTCTTTCTCTTAATTCTGTTAATTTATTTAATCTCATGGGAGAGAAAACATGACCATTCTTTTATATACTGTACTTCATTCTTTCATCCAGTTCATACTCTTAACTGCTTTGGATTCATATATTTATTTTTGTTAGTGGAGTTGCTGCAGTTTACCCGCCATGGTGGTGCTCGAGTATAATAACATAGATGGAAACAAGTTATTTCTCCAGTAGGGTTTCATTCTTTTTATTTCTGCTTTGTGTCAGCTGTGTAATCTTAAATCTTTAAGAGCTATGTTGTACTGTCAGAAATATCTTAATTTTACATTTTAAATTGTACATAATACTAACAAGTCAGGCAAGCTTAATTTCTGTAAATTTTAGTGTTCAAAAAAAAGAATTAGTAAAAGTTATCTTGTTGCTTTGAATATATCTTACTGAAAAAAAAATCTTAACTAAGATGAAAATTATTTTATACCTCTCTGTTGGCAAACTGGTCTCCTAATGGCAAATTACCTCTTTTACATTTTATTCTTTCATAAAAATGTTGCAGACTTAACTTTCATGGAAGTCTGAAAATGAAATTTGTTTTATAGCAGTTCTGGTGTTGACTACCTGAGAAGTCTTTTATTTTTAAGCCCTACGTTTTTATATATAACTCATTTTAGCACCTACTTACTGATCAACAGTTCTTTTTATATTTTTTTATGTTTTATATTCTGCAAAATCTGATTTCTTAAAATGTTAGTTTAGTTAAAAATTGAAGTACGCATTACAATTTTTTTATTTCCTATCATTTTAATTCATGACATACTACACAGAAGTATTGAACATGCTTGAGAAATAATTTGATTCTTTTAATTCATTTGCGTGTTCTGAATAGTGGCCATCCTTTGCATGTCTATGGCTTGCTGCTTATGTTTAGAGGAATTGTAGTTTGTTGTACTTAGAAACTTCTTTTGGTTTTACGTAATAAGAACTTGGCACATATATGCTATTTAAATCAATTGCTGTATTGACTTTATGTATTCTCATTAGCAGCCAACAGTCGACACCATCTTTGGTCACAAAGAAACGACTTAATCTAAAGAAATTTAACAGGATGCACTTTTATTCTCATTTTCTTTACTCAAGTTCAGTTTAGCTGTTCATGGTACAGGGTATTATGGAAAAGAAGGCTTCTTGACAATGACATTTAATTTAATACTAAAAAAATTATTTTTACTATTTATAAAAGTAAAATCATAGCATCCAGTAAAACATACACACATATCTACCTTCTCTCTCTCTCTCTCTATCTCAATAATAAAAATCCTCTAATAGGTCATGCCTTTTAAAATATTTATATTCAGATATCTTATAAATACTTTTTTTATAGTCTACTCATCATTTGTATCCTGTAGAGACACATCCAAGTAAAAATCGTGGCAAATTGGTTTTTTAATTAGAAAAATTACAAAATCCTTCTATCTGGAAAACTGATACTAGCTCCAGGATGTCTATAATTTTGTAAAATAATTTTTGTTCCTTGGCCGACAACATACTTTTGGGTAAAAGGAAGAGAGCCTTGACAAGATGGTAAACCTCTTTAAACTGGATCTTTCTTTGATCCTAAACCATTCTAAATTTCAGTAGCTAGATGTTGAACTTGAAATAATCAGGTTAAAGACCCTTTTGAATATGATTCATGCTACCCTAAACAATACTTATTTGTATCTCCAACATCTTTGGGGGGTATAAAAATAACTGCATTGCTTCAGGTAGGTATAAATGTAGGGGTCAATCAAAAACAACTTACTTCCATTAAATTATAAAAATTGAATACTCCAGCCCTATTCATTCTTTAATTGGATATGGAGTGTTTCATTTATGTCATTGCCTGTGTGGACCATATCTATTATTAATAATATTTTACTGATTTTTCTATTATTTCCAATTCTGAGTTGATAATCCGTGGCTTTTATTTCATTGCTTAACAATGTTTGTATCCTTTATTCAGCAAATAGTTTACACTGGCCTATTTTGTATCAGTCAAGATTTTTCTCAGGTAACAGCTTTATTATTATTATTATTTTAATTAACAAAAGAGGTAGGATTACATAAGAGAAAAAAACCTAAAATTTCAAAAAGGGACATTAAAACTAGTAATTCTAATTACACAGACATTGTCTCATATATGTGATTTAAGCAAAGTGGAAGATTTGTTTTTGTTACCTAATTGTCTGCTTTTGTCAAGATGATGTATGCCACTGAATTCAGATGTGTTTGTTGACTTTATTATATCACCTGAATAAAAATTGATGAAATCTAAATCTAACTTAAACCGTAAAAGTATGAAGACTCTTGTAGCTATTTGAGAAAGATGATATATATGCCTTTTTCTTTTATTTTTAATCATATTTTCTTTCAAAATTGTTTCACAAAATATAAATATCCCTACTAAGATGAAAGTGAAATATTGTACACTAATGCTACTAGAAGTTTTAAAATTCATTTATTTATATAAATACTATCTTTTGCATTTATGCTGTTCTTTCTCCAAATTTGCATATTGTAAACTGAACCAGTGTTGTTGGATCTACTTTATGTGACAGTATTTTTAATCATTCATTGTATTTTTTCTAACACATCGAAGGTTGGAAAGATCCTTTTGTTGCAGTTTAATTTTTAGGCAGAACTTTTCTCTTTGGACTGAGGCTTTACTTTAAAAGCCTGATTCCCCCCCCGCCCCGCCCACCGGTGTTTTAGAACTTCCCTAGAAAAGTTTAGAAGAGCCTCCACAATTTAAAATAATTTAAAAAATTTGTTGTTTTGAAATGCTTTAAGGGTTTGGCCCTACGTAAAGAAACTAAACAAGTATGATCTATTACTTTCAGTTTTTATTTCACAGCACATTTTGATAATCAATGCTGTTTTAAAAGCAAAAAAAAACCCCAAATCTATCATGATTGTTGCAAGAGATGTTTAAAAGGAAACTAATGTAAACTATGCTTCGTGCTTATATCATAAGTCAGTAAGTGAAGATATAGATGAAGATCTAGCTTTTGTCATTTGAATATTGGATGTGACATCTAAGTAGTGCAGGCTAATTTGTGTCTGATTTTTACATTCTTATCATTGCATGTATTCACTGTATTTTTTAATGTGCCAACTGTTTTCTCTTTATAGATTAGAATTTCAAAGTAACCATCCCATACCAGTTCCGACTACCATCTGGTCTCTAAGCTTGTTATATGAAATCTTTTATCATTGTCCTCCATTTTTAGTGTTTTCGGACGAGCTACACCTGAGTTGTACATTTTCTTTTCTTTTATTTGCTTCTGTATACAGGCTGGCTTAGCGGGAGCTCCAGCCCGTGCTGTATCAGCTGTAAAGAATATGAATCTTCCTGAGATCCCAAGAAATATTAACATTGGTGACATCAGTATAAAAGTGCCAAACCTGCCCTCTTTTAAGTAAAAAACTAAAAAGGCCACTCCCAGGTAAAATCCAGGGGGAAGAGTCATCTAAGTTTACCATGCAGTTGTTTACCAAAAATAGAGGAGGAGAGTCTTAACTTTGGCTCTTGGATTTAAGTCAAGGTACTGTATAAAAGTTATGTAAAATCGGTATGGAAGTTCAATGTTGCTTTTCTTGCTCAGTGATTTTGAAGAAATTGGGTAGTTCCAGTGTGGTATTTCTTTTTCTTTTCTAAACTGCATTTCTGTGCCCACCTAAGGCATGCCTCCATGTATTGGCTGCTACAATATTTCAAAAAGTGTTTGAGACATTTCTTTAAGTTATGTACAATCCAAAATGTTGGTGTTTTGTATGGATCACAAGTGCAGCATTCCATAATTCTTTGTTATTTGTCACAATTGTTATTTAAAGAACCAAGTATGTATTGCATGAAAACATTATGACCTTTTCCTCTTAGTTTAAATAAACTCCAAGGTAACTGGACTTCTAAAGCACCTTTCTGTTTGCCTGATATCTACTTTAGCAATAATTTTTTTACGACCCTCTGACTCAACAAAGTAAATAAAAGTATATTTTATCACTGTTAAACAGCTGTTGATGTTGATTTATTCAATTCGTACTCATGTTTTTAATATTCAAAAACTTACTAAAGTATTCTAAAACTCAGTTGTTTCACAAGTCAAGAGGAGTGTATCGGGTAGTGTTGTGTACAGATGTGAGGTGGGAGATGACAGATCTTTTTCTAAAATCCATATTGAGAAATTACAACGCCTACTTTACACAGATAGGTGTAAGTTTTTCATCTGGTCCGTTCTTGCTCGGTTGATGAAAAATAATTTTGGCAAATACCTAGTTGCTTTTGAACATAAAACCCTGTGGGGCTCCACCTGACTGTTCCATCCCAAAGTCAAAGCTAAAGTGTTTGCTTAAGTTTTAACAATCTCCTATTCTGATTTCCCATTATTGGCCCACATTTTCTTATTTGGTCTTACCTTCTGAGCCATGAACGAGGTTCCTCTTCCAGTTAGACCAAGGTGGGTATTTCTGTTGTTGTTGTTGTTGTTGTTTTATGGTTCTAGTCCTCCCCAAATGTTCTCTTTGACACATTTCCTTAGATTTGTGGCATTTATGAATTTTACTCCATGGGCTCTGGGAGGTAAGAAAAGTCACTTTATTTTTTCTAAATAATATTTATCTAACTCTGAGCTTCCTTCTGTTGAGGCCACAGAAATCCAGTCTGTGATTATTAGGATTTCCATCAGTTCAGAGATGTGTAAAAGTTCTGCAAAGCGGAGCATTCAGGGGGGTCCCTGGTCTTCGGTCATTTGACAAATGTGTTTTGAGTGCCTACTGTGCCAGTTCCCGTGGAGCTGTAAACAGTACCACACAGAGTGCCTGGCAGTATTTCTACTTTTTTTTCTCTTCCCTTTGTTTTACGGGGCAAAATTGTGAGAAGATTAAGTTTGGGTTTGACTAGGATGTGCCAAAATTAGGAAAGCTTCTGGGCCAGTTATTGGTTTTACCTCAAGAAATAATTAAAAGGTTTTTTGTCTCTCAATATATTCTAGTAAGAAAAAGAAAACATTGTACAAATTACAAAAATAGGCAAGTCATGGAAAACTATATCTCCGTAGCCAAGGAATAGGTAGAGATGCTTAATTTCACGAGTAGTCAGAGAATGCAAGTTAAAAGGACAATTAGATTTTATTTTCACTCATCATATGAGCAAAAATTAAAACAGGTGACAATATCCAATGCTGAAGAGGATGTGAGGAATGAGAATGGTCATATGTTGCTGGTGGGAATGTAACGTATCGTTAACTTTTTTTTTAAAAAAAGCATATGCCAAGCTGGGGCACCTGGGTGGCCCAGTCGTTAAGCGTCTGCCTTCGGCTCAGGTCATGATCCCAGAGTTCTGGGATCAAGCCCCGCATCGGGCTCCCTGCTCTGTGGGAGGCCTGCTTCTCCCTCTCCCATTCCCCCTGCTTGTGTTCCCTCTCTAGCTGTCTCTCTCTCTGTCAAATAAATAAATAAAATCTTTAAAAAAATATATAAAAATAAAAAGCATATGCCAAGCTTTGTGAAAAAAAATTTTTTTAAAGTTTATTTTTGAGGGAGAGAGAGCACACGAGCACAGGGAGGGGTAAAAGGGGAGGGAGAGGAAGAGGGAAAGAATCCCAAGCAGATTCCTCACTGAGCACGGACCCCAGCGTGGGGCTCAATCTCACGACCCATGAGATCCTGACCTGAGCCGAAAGCAAGAGTTGGATGCTCAATCAACTGAGCCACCCAGGCACCCCAACTTTGTGAAAATTTTTAAAAATTAAAAATATACATTTCTCACATACCCATGACCCACTCTCAGGACTCTACTTATACAGCATCCTTGGTATCTTTACATACAAGGTATTTATTGCATCAGTTTTTATAAAGCAAAAAGTAAACTGGAGATACCTTAAATACCTACCAGTAAGGAATTGGTAAAATTGTAGTAACTACCACACTAGTTGTAATAGCAGAAGACTGGAATGGCCCAGATATCCTTTGGAAGGCGATTGGTTGGAAAGCTAGGTTACATCCACACTACAGAATCTTATGGAACAATCCAAATGAGAAATAGCTGTGTACATTGCCACAAATTGACCCCTAGAATAGACTGTTAAGTGAAAAAAGCAAGATGGAAAAACTTACGTATGGTATTATTTTAGTAGTCGAGGTTTTCCAGAGAAATCGAGTCAATAGGATGACTGTGTATTCATAGATCTTCCTCAATAAACCAGTCATAAATTGAGGATATCCTAAGTCAAAAATGCATTTTATAAACCTAACCTACTGAACATCAAAGCTTAGCTCACCCTACCTTAAATGTGCTGAGCGTGTTTACATTAGCTTACAGTTGGGCAAAATCAGCTCACACGAAGGTAATTTTATAATAAACTGTTGAATGTCTCATGTAGTTTATTGAATACTGTACTGAGTGTGAAAGACAGAATGGTTATATGGGTAGAATGGTCCTAAGTGTATTGGTTGTTTTACTTTCGTGATTGCGTGGCTGACTGGGAGCTGGGGCTCGCTGCTGCTGCCCAGCATCACAAGAGAGTATTGTACTGCCTATCACTAGCCAGGGGAAAGATATAAACATTCAAAATTTGAAGTATAGTTTCTACTGAATGTATATTGCTTTTGCACCATCATAAAGTCGAAAATTTGTAAGTTGTGCCATTATAATTTGGCGATTTTCTGTATAATAAGATTAACATCCTTTAAATCAATAGGCTGAGTAAAGCAGATTGTTCTTCCTAATGTGGGTGGGCCTCGTCCAATCAGTTGAAGGCCTGAATAGAATAAAAGGGCTGATTCACATCCAAATAAGAGAGATTTCCTTCTACCTAACTGTCTTCAAATTGGAATATCAGCTTTTTCCTGCCTTCAGAAAAACTGACATCAGCTTATCCTGGGTCTCAAGCCTGCCAGCCTTTAGACTGCAATTACACCATTTGGCTCTCCTGGTTCTCAGGCCCTCAAACTTGGACTGGAACTTCATCTTCAGCTCTCTTAAATCTCAGATTGCTGACTCACTTGGAGGATCTTGGGGCTTTTATCAGCCCTTGTAATCATATAGGCCAATTGCTTTTAATAAATCTCTTTAAATACAATCATGGTGTTGGTGATATTTTTTAAATAACGTAAGAAATGTATTATAAAAGTTTGATTCTGAAGGCAGAAAAAGCCAATGTCCCAGTTTGAAGACAGGCAGGAGGAACTCTCTCTTACTTGGATGAGGGTCAGCCTTTTTATTTGATTCATGTCTTTGGGTGAGGCCCACCCACATTGGGGAGAGCTTTCTGTTTCACTCAGTATACTGATTTAAATGTTAATTTCAACCAAAATCCCTCACAGAAGCACCCACAATGTTTAAGCAAATGTCTGGGCACCCCTGTGGCCCAGTCAAGTTGACACATAAAATTAACCATCACAATAGGCTACCAGTTACCTAAGAAAAAGAATGAGTATGTGTGTGTATGTAGTGTGTGCATGTATTGTTTATATTTTTAAGTGGAAGGATACACTATATATTTTTTAAAATATTATCTATAGTGAGAGGGAGGAAACAGGGCAGCAATTTAGGGATGGAAACTGGACTTCTCAGAAGGTTCTCGGGTGCATCCTTTAGGGCCGAAGCACTCATTCCCTCCACGCCTGGTGGAGTGGGTGGCTGAGCACACTCAGCAGAGTTGCTATTAGAATATCCACCAGCTGAAGAGAGCTCACTCACCTAAGTCCTGACTCTTCTCCGAAGACATCCCACATCCAAGTTATAAAAGCCCAGACCCCTTGCCTAAGGCGGGACAACTCTGAAAAGCCATCCCAGCTTCAGTGCTACCCATGCAATCAGCTGAGGCCTTTGTTGTGACTGCATTGCTACTTAACTCTTTTTGTCTGCCTCATCGTACTTCCTGCAGACACTCGCAGGTTTTGATCCCGGTGGCATACCGCAGTGGATGTCCTGCATGCAGATCTCCATCTCAGTCTGTTTTTTCAGGGAAGCCCATCTAAGGCAGCAATAGCCAAGAATGGTCTCAGGAAGCAGATTCTAAAATTTTGGAGCTGGATCACCCACCGGCAGGCTGGCAGTGGAGGTTCCCATTACCGGTGGCACATGGAGCATGGATCACCATCAGCATGCCATAGCAATGTAATTGTTGAAACTTTCACTGGTGCTTAACTGGCATGGGATACTGGGAATGCTCTGGTAGGGACAATGTCTCAGGCCTCGGAGAAGTTCAAGAGAAGTAGTAATTACAAAGAGTGTGGATTTGGATGTTGGTTGTTGGGGGCAGTCAGTGCATTCGAGAAATGCTGAGGGTGATTAATCACCAATTAAAGGCTGTGTATGAAAGCCAGAGGCCTCCTTGACAGCATACAAAGACTCTCATCTCCTGCAGCTGGAGGATGGAAAATGCTGAGGATCAGGGCCAGGACTTGAAGATTGGCAGTCTTCAAGAGAAGACTGGATTCCAGCACCATCATATCTGCTAAGCCAAGGTCAGGGACATAGTTGGAAAGAAGTAGGACCTGAAACTTGGGATGAGGACATCTGGGTTAATGCACCCGAAAATCTTGGATATGGACCTGCAGAAGGTAGCCCCCTTCTTCCTGTTAAGCTTCTACGCACTGCCTTCCTCTTCTTTGCTTGAAGAGGATGCATTAACTTCTACCTCGCAGGATAACATGTACTCTCCTCAGGATTGCCTCACCTGCTCTGACACTAAGCCAATAACTAGGGTGCAGAAGACCCAACACAAGGCTCAGTCCGGTGCTGGGCCTGCCAAAGTTGCTGTAAAACTTTGCCCAAATAAACTCAGAGGAGCCAAGAGAGAGTACATATGAGCCTGGATCCTGAGCATTCTGGGTCAAGGGGGGAAGGAACATAAAGTTGGATGAGAGAGAGTTTATTTATATGTAAGCACTTTCCAATGATAAAAGATTTAGCTCTGGCAGAGACCCAGGGAGACAGTGCCCATACATGGCTAGGGTAGTTCTTGGAAACTTGGAGAGAGCCTTAGCCACCTAGCTTGGCCCAGCTA